TTAATAAGTTGTTTCTATTTTAAAATAGTTTTGGACTTCCAAAAATGTTGCAAAGACCTCTCACACTCTTATGACCCAGATTCCCAATTATTAATATTTTACTGAACTTTCTCCCTTTCTCTTAATCTATGTAGTCTTTTTTCTGACATGATGCTCCATCACCCCTAAGTGAGGTTGGTATTGTTACCAGAGACAGCACAGTCAGAGAGGATGGGAAGGTGTGGAAAATTGTTATCATCAGGAAATCAACGTTACACAAAACCACCATGTAATCCACACATCCCACTCCAGTTTCACCAAATCCCCCCAATAGTGTCTCTTTTTCCCCTTCCTGGTCCAGAATCATATACAAGAATACGTGGTTGAATTTAGTTGTCATGTCTGTCTGTCTTCTTCACTGCAGAATCCATTCCTCAGTCTTTTCCCTGTTTCTCATGTCTGTGAAGGCCTTTCATTCTGTACAACCCTTGATTGGGACCATCCAGTGTTTTTTCACAGCCAGACTCAGGCTCTGCTTTCTTGGCAGGAATAATGCCATGCTCTTTTCAGGGTATCACATCGGGAAGCATACTGTGTCAGTCTGTTTCACCACTGGTGATATTAAATGTGATCACCTGCTCAAGTTGACTTTCTCCATTATCACCCTTATCCCCTTTGTATTTAATTAGTATTTTGTAAGGAGATGTTCCCATATTATGCCACTATCCTGTTCTTCATCAAATCTCCACCTACAAGTCCTAGCATTCATTGATGGCTTCTTTTTTTTTTTAAAGACTGCTGTGATAGTTGCTGAATGGTAATTATTTTCATTATTCCATCCATATCTGTTAGTTGATATCCTATAAGAAAGAGCTTTCTTCCCTATTTATCAATTTATTTATTCATTTACTTATTCATATCAATATGGATTTATGGATTCCCCCTTTATTCAATGGATTGTAATTTGATAATCTCATTATTTTGATACTCAAATTGTCCTAGATTTGAGCCCTTCCAGGTTGGCTCCTGTTTTTGTTGTTTGTTTGTTTTTGACACATTCCTATCATTCTTTGAACATTTTCCTACTTTCTGGGACAAGATATTCTGGGTTTATCTTGTACTTCCCTGCCCTGACTCTCGTTCTTTTGAGTAGAAGGTGGTAACTAGAATCACGATCTGGGTCTCAGTGCTGTCTGCTAGTAGGCCCTCTCAGCAGACAGAACTAGGAAATGTATATATGTATGCACAATACACATATGTATATCTGTGACTGTTTCTATACCTGTGTCTGTATAACTTTAGAAAAATGTTTATTCTGTTCATTCAGATTCTAACCCAGTACCTCCAGTGCTTTTTCTAGCCTTCACCTCTTTTCCAGAAATTGAGAAAGCTAGCTCCCATTCTCCTCAGTATATTACTTTTGTGCCCAATTAAATTCTGCTTAATGTAACCAGTGTTCCGGCTACTCAGGAAATCCTCCTTCCTCGGCCACCTTCGTGCTCTCCCACTCAACCCCTTTCCTTAGCTGCCAGACATGTTGCCTAAGATGCCCCTGCATGGCACCCCCTCCCATCATGGTCCCACTTCCTTGATCTTTTGCACCTTCGTGCCAGGAAGGAGGAGAAGGGAAGAGGAAGAGAAAAGGTCCTCCCAGGTGATTTAATGTGATGCCAAGTTGAAAATCACTGTATTTAACATGTTACATGCATTGTCTTTTTAAATATTTCAAACCATATATTCTTCCCTTGTAAAATTTGAGATTTAAGAAAAATATGTCTTTATGGTAAGATTCTCTTTTTAATAATTTGTCCATTTTTCCCATACATAGAATAGAGGTAAATTTTTTAGTCCTGAGACTGTAGTGGGGGTATTGATAGCTGGATTTTTATTTTAGTGTTTTAAATTTCCTTGATGGTAATAGGACAGGGTTTCTAAAATGACATGATTTGGGGGGGTGCCTGGATGGGTCAGTCAGTTAAGCGTCTGACTCTTGGTTTTGGCTCAGGTCATAATCTTATGGCTCATGAGATTGAGCTGCACATCAGGCTAAGCACTCAGCGGGGAGTCTGCTTGAATATTCTCTCTCTGCCCCTCCCCCAACTTGCATGTGCTCACACATGCGCTCTCTCTTTCTCTCTGTCTCTCTCAAATAAATAAAAAAAATTTAAATGACATGATATGGCATATTAGTAGCAACCTGGCGCTGTCAGGTTTTTTAAGGAAGAGATTCTTTTCTTCAAATTCATGACATTAAAAGGGCTCACATACTGAACTTGGATTTTTCTTTTCACTTCTGAAATGTCTCATGCTTCTCTCTGCTTCTTCACTAAATTCAGAAGCATCGATGTCAAGAGGTTCCATGTTCCTTCTCCCTGGAGTTTAGAAATGGCATTTTAAAAGAGCTCAGGCACCCCCTACCCCATTCACAGCCACTTCAGGAAATCTGAAGGGAGAAATGGTCTGGAGCCACTGGCCTAGATTGTAAGTATCAAAGCCCAAAGCCCATTATAGTTAGAAGAATCCTAAGAGTGATCTAAAGCTAAATTCCATTGCTGTGTGATTCATGATGATCTAATAAGACTTTTCATCTGTTTTCCATTTTCTGAAGATTGTTAAGTTGGTTGCTATTATCAACAGTGTTTAGGTTTAAACAATTAAAATTAAGGTATAGAGTTACCTGTGTATGTCACGTGCTGGTTTTGCTCATTTGTTGGCACAAGCTCATCATGCAAAGGTTATATGGCACAAATTTACCTTAGATAATCTCTTACAGAGTGGAAAGTATCTGAAGTCAGTTGGAGGGTTACTGAGTACTTTAAAATTTCACTTACTTAAAAAGTGGGATTAAGTATTGAATTTATACAGATTTAAAATCTGATATAATTTGGATTTTCACATATGAGGCTTTGTAGTATTATTCATTTGACCAAAGATTAAATTTCATAACCTGGATTGTTAGAATTTTGAAGGATGAAATCAAGAAAGCAAAGATAAACATTAGAGTGGAATTTGACAAAAATAGAGAAATATACTTTGAGAACTTTCATATTTTGGAATTCTAAACAATGAGCAATAAAAAGTTGCACTTCTTACATTCTGAATTTCTATTCATTGTTTTCTCTGTAATGAGGTCCTTTGCAAGTCACATTCGGTCATGCAGCTCCATTATCTCGTGGGTGTATTTATGTTGAGTGACAGCTATCATATTGTGTATCTGAAGAAAACTTTAGTGACTATGGAATTAATTATTAGCCCTTCTGAAGGCCAAAATACTATCAACACAGTTTATGGAAATATCCTCCCAGAAAGATAATGTCCCGATGGCTTATAAAAAAAAAAATTAAGATAGTGTTAAAGCACAAAAATGTATTTTTTCTAAAATTATCTACATGAATTGTACTATCTAAAATAGATTCTTGAACAAAAGGATATTTTCATTTTGGTTTTTGATTCTGGAAAGTGTATTTATTTTTCATAGGAATATTCTATTTTAAAATGCCTGAATGAACTAAACCTTTTAAGAGGATTTTCAAGTTTTCCACTAGTGATAAGGAAGTTAAATAAAGACTTTTAACTAAAAATGGGAATAATTTTGTTGTCCTTTAGTTCTTACATTAGAAATTTGAAACCAGAAGTCAGTTAAGTCTCCATAGCAATCATCTCTACAAGATGAATAACACATTTCATTCCGGATGTTGGGAAAGTTCTTAAATAGTAAAAAACAAAACAAAACAAAACACAACAACCACCCCCCCCACCCCCCCACCCCCGCCAAATATCAGGTATTTTGACTAGAAACTCAGCCAGTATTTTACATTACAATGAGAAGGGCTGACATCACCACTGATTACTTCACAGCGAGCTTCTGAGTTCTTGTCTGTGGGAACACAGGAGAGAACTATTTTGTTGACATTGCAGATTCATATGGTTCACCCTAATATGTAATAAACTATCATGAGAAAATATAGGATATTTTGTCACAATCTGGTAAGAAGATGGAAAAAGTATTGTGTTCTGACAGTATTCAGTCAGCATTTGAAAACTTGTGTTAAATGAGTTTTTGTTGCGTTTGTCCCCATCACTTTTCTGAAAATTCATACTTGTGCAGCTCGTACGTTGTCTATCATAGTGCCTGCTGCATTGTACGCACTCAGTAAATGTTTGTTGAATAAATATATGAAATATATTTTTATTTGTATTGGTTTTGAAAATGCAAACTTCTGGGTTTTTATTAAAAGAACAGTTTCCTTCCCCTCAACTTCCAGTACCTGACAACCACTGATGTGTTTCTCTCCCTGCAGGTTTTCACAATGTCATATTGCTTAATCTACTGACATCAGGTGGAATCACATCATATGAGTAGCATCACACAGAGTTTAGTCTTTTGTGTCTTTTTTAACTTAGACTAAATCTTTTTGAGATTCATCTGGGTTGTTGAGTGTATCAGTAGTTTATTGCTTTGGTTCTGAGTAGTGTTCTATTGTGTAGATATACTAGTATTTCTTGTTGTTCATTCACCAGTGGATGGGCATTTGAATTGTTTATAGTTTAGGGCTATTATAAATGAATGTGCTGTAAAATCTACGTCCAGGTCTGTGGACAAATATTTTCATTTCTCTTGAGTAAATGCCTTGAAATGGAATGGCTCGCTCCTTTGGGAAGTGTGTTTTACTTTATTGGATAGTGGTTCTGTAATTTTGGATTCCCGCCAGTGACATGTGAGAATTGCCATTGTTTACAGCCTTTCCAGCACTTGGTAATGTCTACCTTTTTAAGGTTAGCCAGTCTAGTGGATATGTAGCAGTTTTTCCTTGTGGATTTATGTACATTTTTTTGAAGACTGATGGTAAGCAGTTTATGTGCCTGTTGGCCATTCATATGGTTTCTTTTGCTAAGTGTTCAAAATTTGATAATAATTTTGGGTTATCTATTGAGTAGTAAGAGTTTTGGATACAGGTCCTTTATTGGATATATGAATTGTAAATATTTTTTTCCCAGTGTATGACTTTGTTCTACATTTCAGGCATTTTTATTTGACTCTTTCATAGTTTCATCTCTCAGGTAAATACCCCTCCCTTCCAAAAGCACACATTGGTCATATTTTTCAATTAGCAATAATCGCGCCTCGGATAAACCTCATTGGCTACGATACTGCCGCTGCGCAAAGCTGGTCATATTTTTCAATCAGATCCTTATCATATTTATAACTATTTTAAATGTCCCATATGACATTTACAATATCTGGACCATGTTGGAGTCTGGCCCTGTTGAGATAACATGTTATCTGTTAACACTGGCATAATTTTTCCTTTTTGTGTTTAGTAATTTTTTAATTGAATGTAAGGTATTGTGTGCTAAAGAACAATAGAGACTAAGGTAAATGGTATTAATACCCATAAATGGTCACTTCTCTCCTTCAAGCTGTTTACATAAGCAGTCGTGTCAATATTGTCAGTAGTTGTGCTAGATTTGAATTTTGTTGTTGCTATAGTTACTGTGAGTCCAGCACAAACTTCAAACTTATCCAGTGTTGAACTCCTCTTACCTTGAGCTTAGTAGGAGGTCTGGAGTGCAGGGGAGTTTTCGTAGTATTCCTAATCTATGCCCGATTTTCATTCCACAGTGCACACCTGGGCCCCAGGGCTCTCTCTGTGTTCTTGCCTCTTCCCCAGCAGTGGGCTACTGCTGCCTGGGGCAAGGTCCTGGGGGGGGTGGTGGGGGGTGGAGGGGTGGTGGAAGGTGGATTGGTACTTTCCCTTCTCCTCCAGCCTCAGTTTTAGTCAGGTCTTGTATGCCTGAGCTTCAGGAAAGGGCCTTTCTCAGTGTTCCTGTCCCTCTCATAACTGTTTTTAAAATCTGCGTGATGAGTTTTGATAGTGTCTTGTTCCTTCTACAGAGTTGTGATAAATTCTTTTATATCTTTAAGCATAAATATTCTATATCATATTGTAATATCTGCATTATTTTGGTGATTTTTTTCTGCAGCTTATTGTTTCTCCTAACTCACTGCTCCTGGCTTTTCCCCTTGTATCTGTAGTGATTTTTGATTATAAGTTCACGTTCATTGGAATTTTATCCATGAAACTTATTTGAAAACTACTTTTAAATTGTTTTAAACTTTTTTTAAATTGTTTAAACTTTTTAATTCTGTCACCAAGAGAATTCTGTCACATAAATATATTTAGGAATTCTCAGGAGACTTTTTTCTTTTTTCTCATTCGGGGAGTTTTTATTTCAACCTCTGGGGCTTTATGTGTTTCTGTTGTGAACTTTATTTTCTGTTCACTGAACATGGTTTGTTAAAATTCAGGCTATAGGCCAACAGTAATAGACATTTCTATGACAAGTGCTGACTCCAGCCTTCACTTCCTATCATTTCTGATCTAAGGAATTTTCTTACTTTGAAAAATACATTTTTATATTTTACTCAGCATTTAAGAAGCTTTCTACTTAAATGGCTTTATCTGAATATCCAGTTTACCCTGTTTCTAGAAGTGCAACTTTTATGTGCTATCTTCTCATACCTCTGGTGTAGCAGTTGATATATTGTATTATGATCATGTATTTTTTTTCAACCAAAACTAAAATTTTAATAGGTTGCTGAATGTGACTTTTTAGTTTTTGAATCCCTGACCAAACACAGAAAAGGTGGAAGGAGGTTGTATAAAGAACTTAGACTTTTTATTTAAGTATATATTCAAATATATATGAGCTGGAAATACATCAGCATTTATTAGCTGTGTGACCTTGGGCAAATTACCAACATTTTTAAAAGGTTTATTTATTTGTTTTAGAGAGAGTGCTTGAGCCAGGGTAGGGGCAGAGGGAGAGAGAGAATCTCAGGCAGTCTCCTGCTAAGCTTGGTGTCCTAACACGGGGCTCTATCCCATGATCCCAAGATCATGGCCTGAGCCAAAACCAAGAGTCAGCTGCTCAACCAATTGAGCCACCCAGGTGCACCACAAATTACCTAGTTTTTAAGCCTCTTTCTTCACCTGTTGAATGGGATAGTGATGCCTACCTTTTTTAGGACTAAAAGACTGCAATTATTGTATATCTGAAACTAATATAACATTGTATATTAACTATACTGGATTAACAAAAAAAAAAAGACTGTGATTAAACAAAGCAATCTACATAAAATCTCCTAGTCATGTCACATAGTAGGCATTCAAATGTTAGTATCATCTTCCTCTCTTAAATACCTGATGAATTTTCCCTATGTTTTTCCCTTGAGTTCTTCCCAGCAAGGAATTTTAGTTAAGATAGTAAAAATATCTCAGCCATTTGCTCCTATTTAACCCGTTTTGTCTATTTAATGTTTGAATTCCTTTGACAAATATATTGGAAGTGATGACTTTTTCTGACTTTTCAATAATGAACTCGATCAAAGAGTTTCATGATTAGGGCATATGGAAAATTCTCAATTCAGTTCAGCTTGTCAGTTTTAAGGAAGGCACAGATTATTACTTTACCAAACTAGAATTTTATTTTCTAATTAATTGTTATGAGTTTTATACCTCTGTGGATTATAAACAAGATACAGAAAAAATTACTTATTCTCTTTGGCCATCTAGTCCTTTAAAAGCTAATTTGTAAAGTGGTGTAACTGTAATAGGGCTGTATGGTGACACTTTGCTGAGCACAGCATAAAGGTTCAGACTTGTGGAATTACTGTGTCATATACTTGAAACTAATGTAACATTGTGTGTCAATTGTACTTCAGTTTAAAAACTAATTTGTTAAGAATGACTTTTAAATTTAGTCTGGATACACAGTTTCTTACTGGCCATTGTGATGCTTCTTTTTTTTATTTTATTTTTTTATTTTTTTTTAAAGATTTTATTTATTTATTTGACAGAGACAGAGACAGCGAGAGCAGGAACACAAGCAGGGGGAGTGGGAGAGGGAGAAGCAGGCTTCCTGCTGAGCCGGGAGCCCGATGTGGGACTCGATCCCAGGACCCTGGGATCATGACCTGAGCCGAAGGCAGTCGCTTAACCAACTGAGCCACCCAGGCGCCCCTTTATTTTTATTTTATATATTTTTTATTATGTTATGTTAATCACCATACATTACATCATTAGTTTTTGATGTAGATTTCCATGATTCATTGTTTGCGTATAACACCCAGTGCTCCGTGCAATACGTGCCCTCCTTAATACCCATCACCAGGCTAACCCATCCCTCCACCCCCCTCCCGTCTAGAACCCTCAGTTTGTTTCTCAGAGTCCGTAGTCTCTTATGGTTTGTCTCCCCCTTCGATTTCCTCCCCTTCATTTTTCCCTTCCTGCTATCTTCTTCTTTCTTTCCTTTTTTTTTTTTTAACATATAATGTATTATTTGTTTCAAAGGTACAGGTCTGTGATTCAACAGTCTTACACAATTCACAGCGCTCACCATAGCACATTGTGATGCTTCTTTACCAAACTTGAGACCACACTAATTATTATTTTTTTTTTTTAGCAGAGATGTCAGGTGTTTGAGGGAATTTTATGAAGTCAGTTCTCATTTGTTCATTGTAATTATGAAAAAATATAGCATAAAGGGAAAGTCTCTAATACTCTGATTTTAGGAAGTAGTTTTAACTTCTCTGTTTAAGATTTTTCTCTTTTAAAAATCAGATGTGTTATCAAATATCTAAAACAAAACTTTTAAGTACTCTTTTTTCAGGCAGGGGGAGGGCAGCTCCTTTCCCTTCCTTCTTGTGGAATGGGTGAGGAACAGTGAAATTGGATAAAGGGTAGAGGTGGAGGGGAAAATCAGAAGTCTGACCATCCCTCATCAGTCTCTAAAAGATCAAAAGCACCTTTTAATGTAATTAAAATGTTCAGGTGAGTCTTTCTAGTTTGCATATGAGGGAATGGAGTGTCAGAGAGGTGACTTGCACTCATAAGAACATATAGCTAGTTAATTGCAGAGCCAGGGCTGAAGGCCACTCCTGACTCAGCTGTGCAATCCTAAGCAAGATCTTTAATCTCTCCAAACTTGCTTTTCAAGTGTCAAATGGGGATCATGCTTGCTTTATAAGGTTGTATGGAGGAAGTGGAGATCATGTACATTTGTGTTTATGAAGTGCTGATGTCTACCAGGTGCTCAATAAATGTTTGTTTCATCTTGGCTTACTATAAATTACTTTTTTTGTGTGTGAACATAATAAATAAAAAATTTGGCAGTAAACACAGAATTGAATATTTTATGGTCTTCCACTTTTTAACAAAATGCATGGGGTGCAGACTGGAAGTAAAACTTGTTTTGAAAGATTCCCTGAATCATTTTAGTGTGAAAAAAATGGAAGTTTTCCATCATCTTTAGATGTTCTGATTTTGGTCAGTGCATTATTGCCTTGGGTCAGGTATACCAATTTATACATAAAGCATTTTTGAAGAATTTTCCTTGCCTTTTCTTTTGTGAATTTTTCTTATGCAAGCTTTGATCCTTACTGAATGACCTTATAAAAGAAAGGGAAATATCAATGAAGTTTAAAACCTACACTTTCCACTCAATTATTTTTCCAGGTTAATTTACAGTGTTCTGAATCTCACCTTTGTGTTTGACCCTGGTTGAAAAACTCAAAATTTTTCTTGAGCACAACAGTCTGATCCCACTAGTCACATTTGAGCTTTACACTACTTCCTCTGTCCTTTTAACAAACACACATTCCAAGGATTGCATCATTTTAAATGGTTGGAGTAAGTCGATATTCTTTTATTTGGGAAAACTGGGTTTTATTGATGACATGGAGTTTGGTGTTTGTTTACCACATTTATGGAAAGCATTTTGCTTTAAGTCAGTAACAGTGTGCAAACCAAAACCAAGAAACTTAAAAAACAAGATTTCCCGCTTTAAAACTTGTGGGTGTACCTAGTTCAGTATTTTTCCTGATCAGGCTAGTGAAGAATTTAAAAACTGAGGACTTAGTATTCAAGGGGATACACGCACCACTGTACTTATAGCAGCATTATTTACAATAGCTTAATTATGGAAGTAGGCTGGTCCATTGATAGTTGAATGGATAACGAAGATGTAGTAGACACACACACACACACACACACACATACACACAGGAATATTATTCAGCCATAAAAAAGAATGAAATCTTGCCAATTGCAAGGATGTGAATGGAGCTAGAGAGTATAATGCTAAGTGAAATAAGTCATTCAGAGAAA